CCATTGTCCATGAACTGTTAGGAAGGAAAATGTACAATACAGCTGCACTATGTTCAGTTTCTGTTTAAACAATTTTGGGGAAAGTTGTTGACAAGCTATGCTAAATTCCTTGGCTTGTGTCTAAAACTGCTTCCAGATTTCATATGTAGCTTTTATCTACTTTATATCAGTTTGATTACTGAAGTCAAAGTTAAGAGAGGATTGGCTCAGGAAGCACTCAGTTTCAACTGAATTTAGGAACGCCTGCATCACTTTGAGGGCAACAGACCTTCAAATATTGACTTGGCTATTATCACATCATAACATTTTTTTAAAGATGTAATCTAAATGGATTTTGCTGTCTATTGCAAAGAAGATAAAACAGGATCAGATCCACATGTAAATGATTATCAGTGACTAAGAAGAAAATCATTGTATTGTATCTGCTGAGCTTGTTTCTAAAGAGGTTTTAATTTTTGAAAAGGGTTTTGCAGAGAAGACTGGAGGCAAACCAAACATTACTTGTGTTTTTAATTACTTAACAGAGGTCAGTTTGTTGATAATTAAACAAAAGCACACCAAATGGTTGTTAATGCAATGATTCTGTTTTAGGTATTTTTTGCTGCTTTGTGGCCAACATACATTTATTTTTTCCCAGTTAATATACCAGGAGTATTAAATTATTAAGAGTTAGCTTGAGGTAAGATGGGCAGCCTACACATTTTATAAATACATAAAATTATTGTCTGATAAATAATACACTGAAGTTTGCCTATCTGCAGCTTCTGTATTTTTGCTTTACATTTGCTTTAATCACACATTTGCATAACTGTAATGAAATGTCATTTCACTGTTGTTAAATTAACCATGTTTTTAAATGTCATATGTTGTTAAATTAACCATAAGATCCAGTATTTCTTTACCATACCATGCAAATGTGTTCATGGGTATGATACATGTGAGTGTATGTATGTAGATATGTGTATGTATGTGTTTGTGTACACACACACACACACACACACACACACACACACACACAGGTCTCACAATCTTAATATTTGTCTCACGGAACCCAATATAATCTCTGGGCCAAAAGCAGATAAATTGTTAATCAATTTATGGTACTCTATGGGAAAGCGAATTCAGAATTCACCACCGAAAAGACTCTCTTCCTAGTTATCATGGAATTTCATTCTACTAAAATATTTGGAAAAGGTAAAATATTCCCCATGATGTCATAATTATAGGAAAATGGAATAGGAAAAGTTAGATTTGTTGATATTTGATCCTTCACTATTTAAAGATGCAAAATAGATAATAGCATCCTGAACTATAAGCAACCAGAGCTCCTTTGGAATCAGGATAATTAGGATTTTTCTGTCTTTAGACATTAATATACTAAGAGTTGTATTCAGAATGAGATGAAGCTATACACTTTCAAGGACAACCCTCTTTTAGAACATATTATTGATTTTTATATACTGTAATTAAGACCCTTGGATCCATTCTGCAACCTTGATGGTGTATCAACCAACAAAACTTGACATATTAGGGGTCCAAGTTCACCATCCTTACAGAGGTATGCAAATATATGTCATTTTAGTGATGAGATAGGAGTAAAGACACTTGACATATTTGGAACATCTGTTCAATTTTCAGCTCAGAATAGGTTCAGGAGAAAAACCTTTGGATTCTCCCCCCTCCTGCCCCATCCAATAGAAACCAGATTTTCAACTCTATTGGCTTTTACCCCTTTACTTTTTCAGTCATGCCTAAAATCAGACAATTCACCTGAAATGTGGGAGGACTGACAAAAGCTGCACATGTGTTGGTGGAAAAATGAACTGGACAGAACTCATCCTCAAAGTGAAAAAAAAATCCACATTCATGTTTCTAGCTAAGACTAGGACAGTTGCTTTTAATCTGATATCACAAAAAGTAACACAAAGAAAAGGCAATTTGAGCTATCTTTATACAGGCAGTTCTTGACTTACAACCATGCATTTAGTGACTGTTCTAAGTCAGAGCAGAACTGAGAACAATGACATATAACTGGTCCTCGCACTTATGTCAGTTGCAATATGCCCAGAGTCATGTGATCAAAATTTGGTGCTTGGCAACCAGCACGTATTTATGATGGTTGTGGTGTCCTGGGGTCATGTGATTGCCGTTTGTGATCTCCCCAGGCGACTTCCAAAACCAAAGTCAATGGGTTAAGTTGTTTAATGGGTGGATGATTCACATAACAACTGCAGTGATTTGCATAACAATTAAGATAAGGTAAGGTAAGGTAAGGTAAGATAATCTTTATTGTCATTTTTTTTACTGTGGGCACAACGGCACACATCAAAAATGAAATTTAGTTGCCCGCTCTCAAAGTGAAACACATATATGACACACACCTAGATATACTATGTACAACATATGTATAGACCCACATCCCTACATATACATAGCAAATAAATATTAAATACTGTCCATCTTGAATATATAACGGAAGGAGGAAGCTTGAGAGTTCACAAGGTTAATGCTATATGGAATGAAACTATGGCTGAATCTGGATGTTCTGCTTCGGATACCACGAAGCCTCCTCCCAGAAGGTAACAAGGAAAATAGGTTGTGAAGAGGATGTGTGGTGTCCCAGATAATCTTATGGATCCTGCTCAAGCAGCGCTTCTGTGCTATGTCCTGGATGGGAGGGAGGGGACTGCCAATGATCTTTTCGGCCATTCTTGCAAAAAGGTCCTACAACTTACCAACCATCTTGCTTAGCAATGGAAATTCTAGTCCCAGTTGCGATCATAAGTTGAGGGCTATATGTATATGAACAGTGAAAATGATGTCTGAGTAACTCACACCCATTTAATTATTGTGCCCAATGCTGCCCATCCTATTCATTTCTCAATCAAAGTGATCTGTAGTCCACCTTTGGCTCAACATCCTTCCCTGATGCCAGGGACTGAATTTTCCCAGTGCTTCTCTAAAAATGAAATGAAATCCAGCCTACCCTACATCTTGCAATGCACCTAAATAGAAATGATACAAAATTGGATTTTGTTATTTATTTATTTTTATTTGCTGCCCATGTTGTTTCAAAGTGATTTTCTTCTAATAATTTTTTAAAAAAAACTGCAGCTTCAAAGCTCTAATTAAATTGGTTGAGCGAATATTATAGATATTCATATTCTCCATTATTCTGCTCATATTTTAAATCATGGTTCCATTTCTTCACAGATATGTTGGGTGCTTCCCTATTATTTTTTCATTCCATGCTTCTGGCTTTCCTGATTCACGGGAGTTTTAAAGGGTGGGAATATTGATTATATTCCCTTTGCATCTGTCCTTACAGTCCTTTGACTGCGATTAACCATTTACAAATGGTAATTTATGGCAGCATCAGCAAACCAACAGCGTCTCCCTTAACTGACCTTACCTTGCCCCAGCCTAGAATTTAAGCAGCCTAATGCTGACCCTTCTTTTTATCAAAAACTAGTTTTCCTTGCTTAAGCCAACCTTCTTGGGTCATAATGTGTCTCAGTGTATTGTTTCATTCCCTTTTGGTGAGAAATGAGGTCAAGGGGCAGTGTAACCAGAGGCATGGGGGAATTGGGTAAGGACAGCCAGTTCCTTTCTGAGGTCATGGATTTGGGGAGGAATATCCGCCATGTTATTATGTAACCAGATGTTGAGCAATCACTAGCCTGAAAAATATTGCCACCAGCCCTAGAGAACAACTGGTTAGCAATACGGTCTGAAAGGAGGCCACTGTCAGGACTGTTCAACTTAAGGTTGGGTGGTGCATTAAACAGGCATTTCTCAAGCTCGGCAACTTTAAGCTGTGTGGACTTCAACTCCCAGAATTCCCCAGCCAGCATGGGAATTCAGTTTTGGGAGTTGAAGTCCAAACAGCTTAAAGCGGCTGAGCTTGAGAAACAGCATTAAACTGGAGAGGACTGGCTTAAAAAGGAGGGAAAGAAATTTGGATCTGGAGTACAGGTAGTCCTCAACTTACAACAGTTCACTTAGTGACCGTTTGAAGTTACAACAGCACTGAAAAAAGTGACACGATCATTTCCCACACGTATGATCGTTGCAACATCCCCATGGTCACGTGATTTGCATTCAGGTACTTGACAACTGACTCACATTTATGACGGTTGAGGTGTGCTGGGATGATGTAATCCCGTTTTGCAAACTTCCGACAAGCAAAGCCAATGGGGAAACCAGATTCCTTTAACAACCGTGTTACTAATTTAACAACTGCTGCAATTCCCTTAACAAACGCAGCCAGAAAATTCATAAAATGGGGCAAAACCCACTTAAGACATTTTTCTCACTTGGCAACAGAAATCTTGGGCTCAATTGTGCTGGGAAGTGGAGGACGACCTGTTAGATCAGTGTTTCTCAACCTTGACAATTTTAAGGCATGTGGACTTCAACTCCCAGAATTCCACAGCCAGCATTGCTGGCTGTGGAATTCTGGGAGTTGAAGTCCACATGCCTTAAAATTGTCAAGGTTGAGAAACACTGTGTTAGATCCAAATAACTCAGAGAAAGTCTAATCTCGTGGTTAGAAAGGTAACAACTGCCTTGTCACCATCTGAACGTTTTCCAACTCCTGGTCTCCAATAAGCTTTCCCGGTGCTCCACCGCTACCTTTCCTGGGCCCCCAATGTGCCCATCTGCAACTTTCCATTCGGGTCTTCAGTTACCGATCTGCAACCTCCGGGTTCAAAGCCTCCTTCCCCCCGCCACCCGTGTTCCGGGTGCCGGGTCTGCCTTTTCGCTCTTCTCCCCTCCCGGGTCCCGATTCCTCGTGCCCGGCCTTCCTTCCCCTCCCGCGAAAGCCCCTCCCCCGCCTCTCTGGAAAGCGCCTATCCTGACCTGCAGGTTGCACAAACGGTCCCTTACCAGCCGGATCGTCCCGCTTCCCCCCCCCCCTCGCCGCCCCCAGCTCTCGGCTTTTTCGAGGGCGGCTCGTTCGGCCCACTTCTCTCTCGACGGCTTCCAGCTGCTAGACTTAGAAAAGCCCACTCCCCCCCCTTCCGCCTTTTCTCCAGTACCTCAGGGGAAGCGGCTGGGCTTGGCCCGCTTGCCCTGCCTTGACCCAGAGCCGGGATCTTTCCCAGGTCCACATCTGGGGCGGAATCCTTTAATGTTGAGGGGCAACCGCTGCGCCTCAGGAGGCCCCTTTCTCAGAAGGCAGCGCGCGCCCTCCTTTCTCCCCGCGTCCCAGACACCAGCTGCTGACCCCGGTCCTCTGCCCTCCACGTCTCCTGCCCGGCGAGCTTCAGACGAGCCGCCCGCCTCAGCCGCAGCCGTCTCTTCCCGCCGTCCGCCCGTCAGCCTCTCTCTCTCTCTCTCTCTCTCTCTCTCTCTCTCTCTTCCTCCCCGGTTTCTGGTTCCCTCTTCCTCGTCGTTTCTCGCCTGGCCAGGCCAGCCCGCTCTCCGCTCGCCCCTGGGCGGCATCTGGTGGCCCCTTCCCAGCCCTGCCGGCTCCGCTTTCCTGCCGTCCCGCCGCGGGGGCGGGGGGAGGCAGCGGCCTCTCCGCCTCCTCCCTCGCCTGCAGCGCGCCCGGCGGCGGCCAGAGCCCGTGCGGCGCGGATCGCGAGCTCCGAGGGACGCCCGATGGTGCCGCGCGGCGACGGCGGGGGAGGTGCCAGGCGCCTTCTGCTGCTCGCGCTGCGCTCGCCCTCGCGGAGCCTGCGGCTCTGGCTGCTGCTGCTGCTGCTCCTGGCGGCGCTCGGGCACGCGTGGACCTACCGCGAGGAACCTGAGGAGAGCGACAGGTGGGTGGCAGGGAGGGGCCCAGCCGCGCCCGCGGTCTTTTTTTTTTTGTTTTTTTCTTTTCCCCGTCGCTTTGCCCCGCGCCTGGTTTTCCAAGCCCCGCTGCGCCGCTTCCGACGCTCGTTTGGCCACTGAGCCGCCTTGTCTCTCCTTCTGTCCCACTCGCAGGGAAGTGTGTTCCGAGAGCAAAGTCGCCACCACCAAATACCCGTGTTTGAAGCCCGGCGGGGAACTCAGCACCTGCTTCAGGTGAGTGGCGGCGCCGCCGCGCGCTCGCGCCTTCGCCCGCCGCGCCGAGGGTGGAGGAGCTGCTGCGGGGGGCGGGAGGGAGGGGGGGGAGAATGGCAGCTTCTCGTAAGAGCCCAGGTTGGAGCGGACAGGCTCGCCTCGGAGCCCACCCGTCAGCTCGGAAGGCGCTGGTGCAAAGTTTGAAAGCGAGACTCCGAGCCCGTTGCTGAAGGTTGCCCTTGCCTTGTAGTACCAAAGATACACAGCAAAGCCTTATCAGATTTAGAGGAAGGAGCGTCTCTTTAGCGCTGCTTGCTTTGGCGCCAGCCTCAACCAAAGGTGGGAAGGCAAAAAAGAGAAATAGATGGCTTAGTCCCTTAAGTTTAGGATAAAGTTATGGATCACGAATGAAGGCGAGTATACTGTGTCCCAGGATAACGTTGCAGGATCCAATCTGGGTCGGTCACTGGGACCAAAGGTTTTGTCTTCTGAGCTTTCAGACTGGTGCTGGAGCTCATCCTCAGGGAACTTCTTCAGGGAACATAACTTTCTATCCTTATGGGTCTTTGAGGAATTCAGAGCCTGACCCTGTCTGCTCCCATCATCCCAGCATGGATGGGAAACCAGTGGGTTCTTTTCTTCAATTCTCGGAACCCTTCCTCACTTGCATTTAAACTTGGTGCAATTTGGGAATCTCATTTTTTTTCTGAGAAAGGCTTAAATCTTCCTAAACCGTACAGGTGTTTCATTAATATTTATTTTGACCATCTCAAGTTACATGCAACTGCTAGAGTTGGTCAAGGTGAGAGATCAGGTGATGGGCAGAGATCAGGCAGAGGCAGGATGGGGGTTGGTGATAGGAACAGCAGTGTTCATGCCATACAGCTTTTGTTGACTCTTGGGTGAGAGAAAACAACTAATTCAATAGTGAAGAAAGGCAGGGCTTTAATGTGTTTCTGGATGCAGGCAATACTTGTTAAGTTCTCTGATTTGAACCCAAGGTCGCCTATTGTTCATCCTGACTTTAAACAGCTGTGAAGCTGGCAGTGAGCAGTTACAAATGGGCAGGTGGAGGATTAAACTGCAAGAGCTTTGAGTGCCTGAAGTTTCTTCTCATTTGCCCATTGCCTGCTTTTGTATGCAGCTCTCCAGTTAGCACTTGTGAGGTGATCACTGCTTCCTTCCAAGTTCATTCTGGCTTGAAGTTATAAATTGGACCTAACATAAAAGCTGCGCTAAGGCATTTCACAGATAAGCTTGTTCATTTTATCCTGAAATGAATTTCCTCTCATTTATTGTCTTCTCTCCACCCTCACAATAGTTTTACATAAAAGTGCATGTAATATTCCTACGCACAAGGGAAAAAGTCTTTTGATGTGTAAGAAGGCAGGCTGTTGGACCTTTGTATATTTCTGATTACAGCTGATTGTCAGAAGCTCCTATAAGCCTGGCCACTGATAACTCAGTATAATTAAAACATGAAATCCTAGAGATGTTTTCTGAACTGTCACATGAGCCAGGCAAAAGACATGCCTGCTTTAAAGAGTTACAAATGGATGATATGTTCATGCTCCATGTGCTCTGAACCATTCTTTTTGCAAGAGAATCTGAAGTCCTGTGCAATCCTGGCACGCTTATATATCAGAACTACAAATTCTATTTCTTTTTGTATGATAATTTCGATTGTTTTAAAAAAATCACAGATAAGGGTCGTAAAAGATACCTCCTGTTTTCTTTTAAGTTTAACATAGAAAAATCAAGATATATGGGAAAATCCACAATCACTTCTATTCAGAACCCTGTAACATGATCTGCCATTGGGTTTTTTTTGGAAGGTAATTAATTCTGCTATTGATAGTCTTTTTGGTCTTGGTTTTGAAGTGTTTTCCAGTGACTCTGAAAATAGCTAGGAAACACAAACCAAAACATCTTGAATATTCATTAAGTCCCACTGAAATCTGTTTCTTTAATGAATATGATGACGATCTAATTTACATTTTAATTGACTTTGTTTCCATGTAGGTTCTGTACTCCTTAAATAGAGTCAAAACATTTTAATTTGTATTTAAAATTCAAATTATGAATCATAGTAATGGATTTGTAAATAGATTCCCACCAGCTTGCTAGCAATCCTTGTTCTTGCATAATGTATTGTATTCAGAATTACAGAATGTGCTCGTAGCTAAAGGTTAGTGCTGCTGCTTTACTATTTACAAAATTTACCAATATGTATAGTGTTGAAAATCTAACCGCTATAGTTTATGGTTACTCTCTCCTGGAATTGAGAAGAACATCCTGGGGGAGGAGGAAGGCAGAGATTTTATTACAGCTTTTTTTTAATACAGGAGAACCAATATTTCCCTTCAGCATAGAAGTTGTGTTTTAATTACAGTATAGCAGTGCCTAAACCAATGATTAAACTTTGATAATCCACAAACCACCGATAATCCATGAGGATCCACGACAAGGGTCTTCAGCCTTCTTGTATTCACCACTGGTGACTTGGTCTTTGCCCACTTGCCACATTCAATAAGTTCACTACCATTCAGTTGTCTTCTTGCCATCTGCATCCTGATGTTCACCACCACTCAGTTCTTTTGATGTTGTAGAACTCTTGAAGTTAAATGAATTCCAGTTCCCTAAAAGGGTCAATCTAAGGAGCTTGTGGATTGGTGGTGCTCAACTGGGTATTTTCTTTGTTTCTTTCTGGTGGCTGTGAGACAGCATTGCTTACAGGGAAGGATAATAGTGGAATAGTAATTGTTTTCTTTATCGTGTGCTAATATCTTAGTACCAACTATAGAATAAAACAGCAATTGATACAATAACATGTTGGGGATTTCATGGAAATAGAGTCCATGAGTTGGTGCAAGATACATTTGTAAGATGTTAAACCTTTTACCTACAGTCTTATTTATACAGCAATCCTGATTTAGAGTTGTCTAATTTAGAATTCTCTTGGTTTAGTGACTGCCTCATTTAGCAACTGTTTCAAGTTACAACATTGATAACAAAGTACTGTCATCAACCTGTCCTCACATTTATGACCTTTGCAGGTCTCTAAAGCAAAGGAAAGCTGAAATAAGATCAATAAGCAGTTTCACTTAGTGACTGTTTCACTCAATGATAGTTATCAGTCCCAAATGTGATGGCTAAATAAGGACTACTGCATTTGTGTTTAATGGATTATTAATTAATCATTAACTATTGTTTTAGATTTGTTTTAATGTTCTTTTTCTTATATACTGTCCAGAGACCTGCTTATGAGAAGGGCAGCTAGATAAATTTGCTAAATAAATAAAACACTATGCTACAATTGATAATATAATATAAAATAAGGATACTCTAAATTAAAAGTCCAGGACAATATAATACTGTAGAATAATATTAAGTTCTATACTTTCAAATGAACATTTATTTTAAAGCAGTTGTATATTAAATAAAATAAGGCAATGTTAAGTAAATCATACATATTAAAATATAAAAAATAACTTTGAGAACTCTAATACAAAGTAACAATTCATTACTTGCAATCACTCTTCTGCTGCGAAAGGGTCTATCTTGTACAAATCCTGGACCGTCTGCTGTTTATACATAATATTTTTTTCCAGTTTGTTACATTCATGCTGGGTTTGAATTACTAATTTGTGAGAATGTTTCAGTAGCAGGAAAGCTTACTGAAACAAACAAGTTAGGTACAGCTAGTAATACTAAAATTCAGAACACAAATCAAGGGCAGTTCCTAACCTGAGTATGCTAAGTGGAATTTTGATCTCATGAAAGCACAAATAAGAAATATGATTGTGAGTATCTAAACATGGCCTTCCAAGTAGGCTATAGATCCTCGGACCTCTTTGTACATTTTATGATATGAAGTTTTTTTATTAAATGGTTTATTTTTTTTAAAGTTATACTCTTCCTTCATATTTAGAACATTATTCCTCCGGGACTTAGGTTAGTCTTTACTTTCTGGCCTTTAGGAAGAGCCTGAAGACTTGACTTTGCCATCTTGCCTAAAGACAGTGGTAGTGTAGAGTCTGTGAAAGACTATATTGTTGATAAATTTGCATTATATTCTGGCAGATTATGTTTTTAATAGTTTTTGCTGTTTTAATGTGTTGCAATGGTTTTTCTTGTGTTGTAATGTTTTTCATGTGTTGTAATCATTTTTGTTGTGTGTTTTGTTTTTTGGTATTTTTGTGTGTTTTCATTCATTCATTCATTCAGTTCAATTCATATGTTGCCCATTTTGCTATCAAGCGACTCAAGATAAAAACCACAATGTAAAACATTAAAACAATAATGTGATAAATATTTATATTATATTAACAAAAATATCTAAGGAAGAAGCCAATGTACAATGGAGTGGAGACAGAGTCTCAGTTTTAACTTTGTGAGTCTTGTATGTGAAGCAAATAAAAAAAAAAGTCTCTGAGCATTTTACAGAGTAAAATCATTACCCGTAAAACCAAGACATTCCCCAGATCATAACTCCCACTGGCCTAATAAACTAACTTCAAAACAAAATCCCAGATCAGTAGATGAATGGCCATTAAAAATTAGTGGGTTTCACAACACCCAGTGGTGAGAGGCTAGATGGAATATTCCAGAATATCAGAGCCATCGCTCATGCTGTTGAGGATGCAACTCCAAGCAGACCCTCTGGATGATGTTACAAGTTGTGCTAAATCATGTCTGAGGAGAACATCCCCAAATGCAGGTAGTCCTTGACTTATAACAGTTCATTTAGTGACCGTTCAAAGTTACAATGGCACTGAAAAAAGTGACTTATTAGTGTTCTTCACCCGACCACTGTAGCATCTCCATGGTCACATGATCAAAATTCAGATATCTGGCAACTGACTCATATTTATGACAAGTCATGTGATCACCTTTTACAACCTTTGGAAGAGCAATATTGGTGGGGGAGCCAAAGTCACTTAACAACAGTATTACCAACTTAACAACCACAGTGATTTACTTAACAACTTTGGCAAGAAAGGTTGTAACTTAACAACTAT